ACCCAGCCTTCCAGGAGCTGGCCCCAATCCCAGCTGAGGCCACAACGCTCCTCTGGTGCCCAAAGGACACAGGCAACTTCTTCTTGGTTCCCCCCCCCCCCGGCCCCCCAGGGATCTGGCAGGCCGGAGAATTCCTGGAGTGGGGTCTGGGTTGGAAGGAAATGAGGAGGAAAACAAGCAGGATGTGGGGACTGACTGGGAGACCACTGGGGAGCCTGAGCCGGGGGAAAGGTTGAGCCCCTCATCCCAGGTGGTATGCAAAATGAAGTTGGCTCTAAGGGCGCTCTTTAGGGCCCAGGTAGGGGAGGTGGCAGTGGATCTTGAGCCCTCAGTTAACAGAGGGTGAACAGTGTGTTGGGCATCAGTCAAAGAAAAGCCAAACAGGCAGGGAGAGGAGTGTTAGGCAGACCCAGCCTGTCCTCATTTCCTAAGGGAGGAAGCAGGTCAAGAGAAAAGTGACCTGCCTGGCCTGTGTGGCTCAGTGGTTGAGCATCGACCTATGAACCAGGAGGTCAGGGTTCAGTTCCCAGTCAGGGCACATGCCTGGGTTGTGGGCTCAATCCCCAGTGGGGGGTGTGCAAGAGGCAGCTGATCAGTGATTCTATCTCATCATTGATGTTTCCATCTATCTCTCCCTCTCCCTTCCTCTCTGAAATCAATAAAAATGTATTTTTTTAATAACGGGAGAAAAGTGACCTGCCCAAGGTCACATGGGGGTAGATAATAGTGGTTCTCTGGACCTGCAGCCAGTGTGCCTCTCTGGGTGCAGGGCTCTCAGCCCTGACACTTGCTGAGCCAGGACGCTTGGTGTGCTTTTCTCAGCTCATGCTGGGCCACAGGACTTTGGGATGAAGGTACCGCCCCCTGCAGGGAGTTTCAGGTTTGAGGCTGCAGGGGCTGAGCAGGTGGGCATTGTCACAGGCCTGTTGGAAGGTGGAGTTCTGTGCTTCATTCCTCTCTGTGGCCCCAAGTTCCTGTTTCTTTCTGGGCCTCGATTTAAGCATCTGCACAATGGGGGTAAATATTAATTGCTACTATTTAACAACACTGAGCACTTAGTCTGTGCCAAGGACCATAGTCATTCCTTTAATCCTATGCTCATTTTACAAAGGAAGAAACCAAGGTCAGAGGGGTGAAGTAATTTGCCTCAAATCACACAGCTAGTACATGGTAGAGTCAAAATATGAGCCCAGGTCCCAAATTAAATAAGACCATTTGAAAAGGGCCTCACAGTGAGAGTCCAGGAGAAGGTGGGAGTGAGGGCCTACTCTCCCACCCTGGAGTGGAAGCACAGGGACCACACAGGACACTGGGCTATGCTGAGGGTAGCCAGTGGTCTGGGGAGCCCAGAGGCAGCCCTGAGGAGGCTCCTAAGGCAGAGAGCACCGGCATGTGCAAAGGCTCATCAGGAGAACGCCCCTGTGAGTCCTGAGGCCCCTGGCTGAGGAGGGCAATAGTAGGGATCCTAAATTCTTGCCCCTGGGCCTCAGTTCCCCATTCAAAGCAAAGGCCAGCTGCCCCTGCCCCACTCTGAAGCACTGTCACTTGGACTCTGCTGCCCCACTGTGGGCACAGGGAAGAACTGCACAATGAGCACCCTAAAACCTAATTAGAGGACCCCAGTCCCCACAATGCCCAATAATGGCTCCAAGAGCCAACTGTGGAATTTTAAGAATTTTTGCAAGTCAGTTGTTAAAATAAAACCATTATTAAAAATTAAATTATATAAAATTAAAACTATATTATATTAAAAGCAAAAGTAATGTTCAAAACTAAGCACTTCCTAATTTCACTGTATTTTGCTATTGTCTGTGCTCTTTTTTTAAAAAATATTCATCCTAGGATATATTTTTATTGATTTTAGAAAGAGGAAGGGAGGGAGAGAGAGACATCGATCAGTTGCCTTCCACATGCGCCCCAACCAGGGATCGAACCTGCAGCCTAGGTATATGCCAACTGGGAATATCAAACCCGCAACCTTTTGGTGTACAGGACGCTTCAACACTGAGCCACGCTGGATGGGCTAAACTCTGGAGTAGCCAGATTTAAAACAGTAACAGGAAAACAGCTGAAATTAATTCAAATAGTATATTTTATTTAACCTGGTATGTCCAAAATATTTCAACATGTAATCAATATAAAGTAACTAATATCTTTTACATTTTTTTTATTACTAACTCTTCACATTCTGGTGTTTATTAAAGCACATCTCGGTTCAAACTAGCCACATCTCAAGTGTTCAACAGGCAAATTTTCCAGTGGCTGCCATAGTGGACAGCACAGGTCTAGACTTAAGAAACAGATGGAACCTGGCTGGTCTGGTTCAGCAGGTTGGAGGTCATCCCGTACACCAAAAGGTGGTGGGTTTGATTTCCAGTCAGGGAACATACCCAGGTTTCGGGTTGGATACCCAGTTGGGGCGCATGCAGGAGGCGACCGATTGATGTTTCTTACATCGATGTTTCTCTCTCTCCTTTCCTCTAAAATCAATTTAAAAATTTTTTTAAATAGGTGGAAAAAATATTAAGGATGCAGATTAAATTTAAAAGTAGTGCTGAGGCTGAGAAATTTCAATCCAATTAACAATTTGCTCAATGATGACAAATCTGTATGTCATGTATCAAATTTAATGATAATAAATTAACTGCTGCCCTGAGCAGTGTGGCTCAGTTGGTGGCAGCGTAGTCCCATATACTAAAATGTCGAGAGTTTGATAACTAGTCAGGGCACATACCCAGGTTGTGGGTTTGACCCCAGTTGGGGCATGTGCGGGAGGCAACGGATCAGTATTTCACTCTCACATTGATGTTTCTCCCTCCCTCTAAAATCAATAACAGCATGTCCTCAGGTGAGGATTAAAAAAAGAGAATCTGGTACAAGAGCAGTGTAGTCGGCTTAACAGTGGCCCCAAAGATATCAGGTCCTAATCCCTGGAACTTATCCATGTTTTATATTTTACATTTTTTTAACCGTGCAGATGTGATTAAAGATCTTTACATGGGGGATTATTTTTGGTTCTCCAGCTGGGCCCTAAATCCCATCACACAAGTGTCCTGAGGAGATGGAGGCAAAGGGAGATTTGGTAAACACAGAAGAGAAGGCCACGTGGCTGTACGTCCAGGAGTTTCTATACCCACCAGAAGCTGCCAGAGGTAAGGACTAGAGCCTCCACAAGAAGTATGGCCCTGCCAACACCCAGTAATAGCGATTTTGGGTTTCTGACCACCAGAACTGTGAGAAAATAAATTTCTGTTGTTTGTGGTAATTTGTTACTGCAGCCACAGAAAACTAATACAAGTAGATGGGATGGAACTCCATTTGCCATATCGTGGTTGAATTAGTACCACAGGTAGGCTATAGATATAAGAATTCAGAAAAAAAATCAACAAAAGCATTCTGTGAAAAACTGGCTATACAAATTTATGATAAAGAATATTGTATATTTTATTTGTACTTTATGTGCTATACATCTTTTATATCAGTACAATTTATAATAACATGTGTGTATATGACATATACCAGGTCTGTCTTGTATCCTCAACACCCAGCACAGAGCTTGGTACACAATAGGACACTCAAATATTTTTTGAATGAACATGACTTTGGACCTAAGTTTCCCCCACCACACAACAGGGTCGGAGGAATGAGATGGGCTCCCCAGGTGGGCAGTACTGGTGCCAGATGTTGTTAGAGCACCTACTGTGTACAAGACCGGGCTGGGGGCAGACTGATGGGACATAGCAGCTGGCCCAAACAGCTGGTGCCCCAGAAGATGGCTGGGAACAGTCAGATTCAAGGAGTCAGGTATGGGATCTCCCATTCCCTTAAGGTCTCTGCAGGCTTGGGGACTGCTCAAGGGATTATCACAGTCCAAGAGATGGGGTGCCAAGGAGCCATTGTACAGGTACAGAGACTAATGCCAAGGACACAGCAGGATCTGCTAGGGCGGGACCCTCTTTCTCTATGTTCTCCTGTGCCTCAATCCTGCAGGGCCAAGGGCCTCTTTCACCCAGGGACTAGGAAGAACCAGGGTCTGGCTTTCTCACAGCTACAGAAGAGCCCTCTCAGTTCCCAGCTTTCCATGTGAGCCCCCATTCCATGCTCCTAATCAGGAGCCCAGGCATAGAGGGGTGGGTGCGCACCTCTACATGTGTACTCTAGTCTAGCTCATCTTTGGCAAGTCACTTTCCCTCTCAGCTCCAATGTCTCCTCTCTGGGGCATCCAGGGCCCAGTCTGCAGCCAGTGGCTGACCCCTGTAGGCCCAACTGGCCAGATCTGTTACCGATTTGCAGGAATGAGCCCTGGCTGGACAATTGTTGGATCTGGACTTTCCTCTGTTAAATGGGCAGTTAAGTGGCTTTCCAGGTTTCCACAATAAGAATTTGGCCAAGCAGACTGGCTCTGGGCACTGGAAGCAAATGAAGAAGACTCTAGGCCAAAGCCCCTAACCAGAACCTGGGAGCCAGGTCTGGGATCTGGAGGTACTAAAACCCTCTGGGCCCCAATCCCACTCCATCCCAAAATGTCTGCCTGTGTCCATATACCACAACTCTACTGGTATGAATTCTGAAGGCAAGGACCAGGATAGTTTTGCTCACTATTGGGGCCACAGTGTGGGATTGCCCAGAATATAAGAACTCAGTTATTTGTTTAATGAGCAAAACCACTTGTGTGTCTTCTACAAAGACCAGGCTCTCCCCGCTGCCTTTGCTCATGCTGTCCTTCCTTCACTAGCACACATCCTCTGATCACCCCTAGGAAGAGGAGCTTCCAGAACTCAGCAGGGTAGGATCCTGGCTCCTGGGAGTGGGAGAAAAAGCAGAAGTCCGGTCCACCTTCAGCCCCTGGGCCTGTGTCAGCGACTGGTCATCTCCTCTGGAGCCCTAGTGGACAATAAACTCTGCTCACCACCAACCCCCGTTCAGAGTTTAAAGAGAAAATGAAGGGATGAAGGAAGCACCAAAGGCAAGCCCTCTTTTATGATAGCATCAGACAACTGTTTCAAAATATATTAGATTTGGTTTTTATTGTAGAGCACACATATCAGGGCAAAGTGCTGCACACACAACTACAAATCATTGAGGGGGGACGGGGAGCTGTAAAAAAAAAATGCAACTGCCTTAGTTATGCAGTTCCAACTTGAGGATCCACGCTGGCAAAGGAGTTCTGGCCCTGAGAAGGGCTTCCTAATGGTGGCTGCCCCCAAATTCTGCAGCCCCAGACCTAGGACTCTATAACCAAGGTCCTCCCCATGGTGGTGGCAACGTGGGCAATCTGCTCTCAGGCCTAGCAAGGAAACATTTCTAACAAATCTAGACCAGCAAAACCTCACAGCCCTCAAGAATCTGAGGAGGTGGAAACTGCCAAAGACTACTTTTCCCCTCTTATTACTATTTTTTAAAAGTCCCTTCCCCAGCTCCCATGCCCCGAGGCGGAAGAGACACTAACCCAGTCTGCAGACCTGGGCTCTGGCCTTGGATGTGTGCTGCAGGCAGGCAGAGGGGCAGACACCTTTCTATGGGGGTGACACGGGGAGAAGGCCCAAACTGGCCAATGTAGACGAAAGGAAAGGGAAAGGAAAAGAACGAGACCAAAGGGAAAAAAAAAAATCTAAACAAAAATCCTGCTACACACCACAACAATTTTCCATACCCCAAATGCTAGACTTGGAAGGACACCAGTCCTTCTAGCTAGAAACAATTTCTAAAACTGTCCCAACATGGCCAGTCTGACTGTTCCATACAATCACACGCATATGCCTGAAAGGAGCAATCCAGCAGAGGTATGCTCTTGGCAAGAGGTCAGGACCGCTGCAGCCAGGGACCTGTAGGCAAAGCAGGCTAGTGGGCATGGAGGAAGCCCTGGGCTCGGCCAATAGCTCTGGGGCGCAGGGGCTGGCACTATTGAAGCGCCTGCTCAGTCATCCTGAATGATTCTGCAGCAAGAGGAAGAAGGTGTTTGTGTGACTTTCCAGAGCCTGGAGAGCAGGTGACAGGTAGGACAGCAAGGCCCAGGAGACCTCAGCCCAGCTTAAACATGGGGAGTGGGGGCGGAGGGGGGGGGAGGGGTTTACAGGGACAACTTCATTCACAACACAGAAAATTTACATATAAAGCAAAACAAGAATTTTCTTAACCAAAACATTTTGTTGCTTTTAAATAAAACCAGCCTGACACAGCCCCACTTGATGATGGTTGCCCCGCGTTCCTCTACTAGCCACTCCAGAGTGAGCTGTCAGCCTTTCCATCCAAGAGGAAAACCAGGAACCAATTCTGTTCTTTAGCCTCAACAGGCAACAAACCAAGGAAAAATAAAAGGGTCCAAACAAACAAACAAAAAACAAACAAAACCCCTCAAAACGAAACAAAAACGGGGTGGCTACGTGAGGATTAACCAGAGTTCCCGAGAGGATGCAGTGGGCCTCAGTGCCTCCGCATCTTCACCTTTCGGGTGGGGCTGCCCGCGGCCTCTGAGCAGTCCTCCGACTCATAGGACTTGCGCCAGTAGTTCTCAGAGCTGAAGCTCCCCCTCCGCCGGTGTGTGGGCAGCAGCACTGAGCGTCGGTTCTCTTCCTTGTCCATCTCCAGGATCCTAGGCCTGCAAGGGGCAGGGTGGGAGCAGTTACAAAGAGGCTGGCATGGCCACAGGGCCTCCCACCTCTGCACCAAGCTCTGACCCTCATTTGCAGGATGACTCACCACCATTCTCCCAGAGGGCTGTATTGGCAGAAGCAATGGCATTGTTTCCCTGTCCACTAAGTGCTAGTGGTCACTCCTGCTCGTTGAGACACTTCCTAAGTACCCTGTGGGGTCTGCATGGCTCTGAATCTGGTGCCCGAGGACTGCCGTTTGGATAGAAAAAGGCCCTTCCTATTACAGCCTAACACCCTGCACAGTCCTGCCATCTCCCTCCACTTCTCAACCCCCCACTTACTCCCCCTTTCTCTCTGCCCACCAACCCCACTAGCCCCTGAAACCACCAAGTTCTTCCTGCCTCAGTGTTTTAGCCCATGAGTATCTCCTGCCTACATTGCCCTGCCCACAGGTCTTCCTCATCTGTTTGGTCTTAGCTTAAACAGTACTTCCTCAGGAACCATCCCCAATCCTTGTGAAATGGGTCTGGCCCACTAGCTTCTGAGTCCCAAGCTTTCACATTTAAGTATAAGCCACAAGAGTGCTTGTCTGGGTGGACTGGAAAAGGGAAATCACGGGCAGGCCATGAAGCATTCCCACTTGTCAGAGTCTGGGCCTAACCTCTTCTCTCTGAGGATACAGGCAATCAGGGGTTAAGTGTGAATGGCACCAATGCCACTAGCCCAGGGGAACTAGACATAAAGCTTGAGAAATGTGGGCAATGCCAAGCTCCTAACCACCTATCCCAGGCGCTTCCCTATCCATCTCACCCTGAAGCTAGGCCATGGGGCTGCTTTGCTAGCCTTGTTGAGGGTCCTAAGCTGAGTACCTGTGAGCAGCGTCGGGGTCTGCCTTGCGGTGAGACCGCTTGGGTTTCAGAGCGGGGTCCCTGTTGTTTCCTGACAGGCGATCTGAAGCATAGCTGGGTGGTAACACGGAGCTGCTCAGGGACTTGGTCTCCAACCGGGGCGCGTCTAATCTAGTCCTGCAAAAGAAATAGGCATCGGGTCATCACGGGGCCTCTGGTGGGGGTATGGATCCTAGCAGACCAATTCTCTCTCCGGGCAGGCTGAGTGGGGAGGCCAGAAGCTCGGCTCTGTGCCTCTGTCTCTTGTGGTTCAACTAAGGATTGGTCTGGCTGACTTCCAAAGACACTTCTTAAGTTCAGGCTTAGGAGCAGGGAACAAGAATACTTCCGTATGAAGACTTCCATGACAGAAATCGGCTGCCCCAGGGAAAAGATCCCAGGGCACTCTTTGAGTTGGATGAAGCAGCCTCAGGCCCAGAGGTTCTCTGGACATTTCCACCTGCCAGAGGACTGAGAGCCCTCTGGTGGGCACCAACATACTCCAACAGACAACTTCAGCCTTGCCTAAATACCAGGCAGGAAGGTTCTGGCCAGGCCTATGGAAGGGCTGGAGGGGAACAGAGTAAGAGTTTCCCCCACTCTCACTCAGGGACAGAGGCTGTGGCAGAGCCAGGAGAGCCCAGGCCCAACTCCACATTCATGTACTTGGCTCTCACCCCACCACAGCCACCTGGCAGCTTCTGTTTATTCCAGGATACTGACCAGGCCAAGGGCTTTTGAAGGCAAGTTCTCACCGAGCACCGGGTGTGAATTTCAAGGAATACAATGCCTACCTAGTAAAGGAAGAAGATGCAAGCAGAGTCAAGGAAGAGGGGTTGGAGAAGCTGGGCAGGGAGGTATCAGGGCAGTGATCTGAAGCCAGAGTAGGGAAACCTCAAAGAAGCCCAAGGCTCCTTGCACGGTACAGAGAAGGCTGGCAAGTCAGGCTGGTACAGGAGAGAGGAGAGAGGCCTGGGATGGGGGGTAATTGGTGCATAGCTGGCAGAAGGCACCAAAGGCAATTTCCCATAGTCTGCTGGGCACAAAGTAGTAATTTGGTCCTGAGGAAAAAGGTGCTGTGATCAGGGCAAGACTCAAAAGACATCCTCACAAAATTACTGAGAGGAAGGGGGGCTAGGATCAGAGGCTGCCTTGCCCTAGTCTGCCTGGCATTCTTGGTAACAACTGCACCCAGTCTTCGCAGCTCCCCCTACCCCTACTGGCTGGCCTGCTGTAAATAGATGGGGGAAACTGGGTCAGAATAGTAAGTCACGTGTCCGGGAAGTCTTGGAGAAAGGTTTAAGCAGGGGTCCTCAAACTACGGCCCGCGGGCCACATGCAAATACAAATATTGTATTTGTTCCCGTTTTGTTTTTTTACTTCAAAATAAGATATGTGCGGTATGCATAGGAATTTGTTCATAGTTTTTTTTTAAACTATAGTCCGGTCCTCCAACGGTCTGAGGGACAGTGAACTGGCCCCCTGTTTAAAAAGTTTGAGGACCCCTGGGTTTAAGCCTAGGTGAGACTCCAAGCCAGCCAGGCAAGAGTCACAGGGCTCTGAACCTGGGCAGGGGTCTTCTCCTAAGAGCATCAGGGGGCACCTTCTAGCTCGGAACACATGTTCTGACGCCCTCAGGCTCAAACGAGCGGGTAGGAAGGCAACATAACTGGTCCCTGCCCCTTTGCTTTGGCCTCACAGAGGCAGAGGCCAGAGGAGCACAGCTTCTCCAGCCTCAGCCTCCATTCTGGGCTCAGGGAAGGAGGACCGAATAGCAAGAGAAAATCCAGCCCTGATCACCATCCCTCTCTGGGCCTCAGTTTCCCCATCTGAGCAAAGAAGGAAATGTGACTGGCTCTAAGGCCTCTTTTAGTTCTGAGGGTCTAGAAACCAAAGATAAGTCCTAGGATTCTTTAGAGAAGCGCCAGGAAGAGGTAGTGCTGGGCAACACCCAGACATGAAGGTGGGAATTAGAATCACCTGAGCCCCGAAGCCCTCTTTATCAGGCCAGACCTCATATGCCTATGCTGAGAGGTCCAGGCAGCAGAGATAAGACCAAACAAGACATTAGCCATTAAGCTTGACTGCAAGGACTCCAAGGGTCTGAAGCCTCATGGAGGAACATCTCCTTTTGGCACCACTAAACTAATCCTACACTAAGATGCCACAGGTGCCAGGGACCACACACTCAGGGCAGAAAAGCCCCTGATACAGAAAGCCCTGGTGGGCAGGGCCTAGCTCCCTGGAGTTGTTTCCTTGGATTAGTGACAGATGGCAAGAGAGCAGCAGAGCCACCACGAGGAGAGCCCAAACTACACACCTCGGGGGCCAGAAAACACAAGCACATCCTGCCACGCTGGCACAGGCCAAGTCCCGGTTTGCCCCGCCCTAAAGCTGCTTACTAGCTGAGTGCCTGCCTGGGCAGCCCGGGCACAGTGGTGGTGGCCCCTCACTAGGGTTCTAGGACTGCTGGAGAGGCTGGGAAGAAAGTTACAACTAGCTGAGACTGGAGAGACAGGACAGGGACCTGGACTGGCTCTGCTGCTCTCTAGCTGCCTAAGTGAGGAAAGGGTACTGTTCTCCGCACATGACTGTTCTGTTGTTATCACGGGGCAGCCCTCAGAGGAGGGATAATCGGAAGTGGCCCTACCAGAGTCCAGAATCATGTACTCATTTTGGGGACAGTATAAGCTTTGAGGCTCCAAAGGGCTCCCAACCCATCCCCTGGGGCTGTTACAGTACATCTCAGAAACGCTGGAGAAGCTCTTGCCCTCCCTCCACATCCAAAAAGCCACAAAGCTGCAGGAAGCCAGGCTAGATCCAGATTCCAAGCCGAGAGCCCACCAGCAGCTTAACTTCAGACCAAACCCCTCTTCAAAGGCCAGGGAGCAGGCCAGGCCCTTTAAGGTTCACAGTGTGCAAAGCCACAGATTTGGAGTAAGGAAGCCCAGTTCTAGCAGTAAGGTCTGGGCCCCCTCAGGTGGCAACAGGAACGAAGACCTGCATCACAGATCTGAGTCAGCATCCCCCAGTCACAGCAAGGCACCACAGGCACATGAAGCGAGGATTAACAAGGCAGGGACTGAGCCTTGGTATAGGGCAGCGGTTCTCAACCTGTGGGTCGCGACCCCTTTGGGGGTCGAACGACCCTTTCACAGGGGTCGCCTAAGACCATCAGAAAACACATCTATAATTACATATTGTTTTTGTGATTAATCACTATGCTTTAATTATGTTCAATTTGTAACGGTTCTCAACCTGTGGGTCGCAACCCCTTTGGGGGTCAAACAACCCTTTCACAGGGGTAGCTTAAGACCATCGGAAAACACATATATAATTACATATTGTTTTTGTGATTAATCACTATGCTTTAATTATGTTCAATTTGTAACAATGAAAATACATCCTGCATATCAGACATTACGATTCATAATAGTAGCAAAATTACAGTTATGAAGTAGCAACGAAAATAATTTTATGGTTGGGGGTCACCACAACATGAGGAACTGTATTAAAGGGTCGAGGCATTAGGAAGGTTGAGAACCACTAGTATAGGGGAAGCCAGAACAAAGGGAGGATGACAGCATTAATGTAACACATTACCACGTGACCTGAGGGGATGGGGAGTTGACTCTGTTCCTTTATCACTCGGAATCCTCCAGAGAAGCTGCTAGGGAGGCTTATACCCATTGCAAAGGTGGGAAGCAATGCTGAACTGGAGACCAAGTCACTTGCCTAAGTCACACAGCTACAACTTACGATGGCTTCTGAAGCCCAGGTGGGTTTGCATCACTGCAGCAGAACAGGGCAGTGCAGACAGACCACCACCACCAGTCTGAACTTCAGGGTCTGCTGCCAACCACTCCAACTTCTGGCTCCACCCTCACCAAGCACCCTTTTGTGCTATAAAGCCTGGCTTTCCCAAGGGAGGCAGGAAGCAATGTGGTGGGCATATCTGAGTACGCCCTTGTCTACTGAGTGACCAATGGGTAGGGTGTATGCATGTGGACACACACTTATTGGACCAGAGAAGAAAGGTGGGCTAACCCTTGGCACAGGAGACAAGAATTGTGAAGACAGAAGTGATGGCAGGAGTCTCAGGGGGATGATGTCTCAGGCCTGGCCAAAAGCTGTCTCCTCATCCCCATCCCTCAGGGGCAAAGCTAAGTGTGCCTTCCAGTCTCCCTTCAGCTCATCCACACACACAGCCTCACACTAGAGCTTTCAGGGAGGGTCTCCCTTGACCCCTGAGACCCCTTGACCTGAATGACCAAATAAGCCATTTAGCTCAGCCTCCTCCAGACAATTTCTCGCCTGCAAATCCCTCACCCCACTGCTCACATGCTTCAGCAGCTCCCCAGCACCTCCAGATTTCTCTGCACAGCACGAAGTCTTTTCTGACGATCTTAGATTGTATCAATTGCTCCAACCCATCTCTATTCTGTGTTCCAGAATGGACTACCTCAGAGTCCCGACTTCAAGCCTCTGTAAAGAGCATCTCTTCTGCCTGAACTGTCTTTGCCCCTAAGCCTCTTCTGTGCTTGTGTGAAGCCCACACATCCTTGACCACCTTCAGGTAGCATGTCTCTGGAAAGCCTTCCAGGCCACTCCCTGGTGAAGTGCTAAATGTCTGCCTTTCCCCAAAGGACAAGGGAATGAGAAGAGACCCCTTTCCTGGTACTGGCACAGAGCCCAGCTCATACCAGCCTTGGTTAACACTTGGCAAATGATACTCGAGCTGCTTCTTCCAGCTTCAGCCTACTCTGAGATGAGCACCATTTGACCGGAAAGTGTATTCCCTGAGCCACTTTATGTAGTGAATTGTAGAGCACCCCGTGCAGGAATAAAGTCTTGTATACAAGCCTCGGGATTCCTGAAGACTAATGGATTGGATGCCCTGGTCACCAACTAGAAGTCCATGAGAGTCCAGAGCTCTCTCCTGAGATCAAGTGTTGATCCAAGGCCTCCTTCCCCCATATCACCCCTCAGCTACAGAGGTCCTCTAAACTTCCTGACTTTGAGCTTATCATTTCTGCCTAACAAGCACAGGGGCCAGATCACCAAGCTTTTTAAATTTTGAGAATACGTTTATTAAAGCTAGAGACAGTGAAATGAGGAAGAGCTTAGGTTATAAGAAG